TATTTGTTGACTTGTGTAAACACAATCGATTTTATCTCGTATTCGATCAGTAGAACTCATGTAATTTCAATAAAATAAGTCTCGAAGTAAACACTTTGACTGAGTCGTATGACTTAATAATGAACACTCTAATAATTCCCAAGACCGACTATCTATTAACCTCGGCATAGTTTGAATAAATGAATAGTTTCTTCTGTTTAGCCGTTCCGAGGTGTTATTGATGTTATTTATTGAATATTAGCGAAGCATACAACAATACAGTCAGTAATGCAGCTTGAATACACAATATTCGAGGTGGCTAACGTTTCGGCAGGTCGCCTTCATCAGAGCCTGGAAAGATCAAATTGATCCACAACTCACTAAGCCAAAAACCTCCATGACCCTAGCAGAAAACGTTAGAGATGTGTTTTGGATCGCATAGTAAAAGCTTCATTTTAAAAACACTCACCGTTTTTTGATATTTGGGTCTATCAATTATCAATTGAAGACAAGCCGCTTAAGGTCAGTGCATCAGTGGGCTGTGCCTCACTCGGCCCGGAAAAATCAGCCTGAGGTATGGTTCGAGGTCACGCGTGATTATGAGGCACTCCTCTTTTCGGTTCATTTTTGGACCTTTGTTATGTATCCAAAATGCTTCTAATGTTTTACGCGCAGATGTTCTTGATTCCTGTGCGAGGATCGTGAATTTGACGCCGAACATTACTCCTGCATGTTTTTGGTCCCTATGCGTGCCTAGTGGGGTTTTTGAATCACAGTTGCGTAACCCAGCTAGGTGCTCTTTTACACGGAGGAATAATGGTCTACCCGTTTCGCCAATGTACTCATCGCCGCATATCTCGCAAGAGATTAGGTAAATTATACCCGATCTCATACAGTCGCCGTCTCTGCCGTTCGGACAAACTTTGCAATCATTGGTTTCGCAGAGGCGGTCATACAGTCGGTTGCGGACTAATTGACGCTTTAGTGTTTTTGGGGGTATTTCAACTATTGCTACCGAATTATCCAAACCTGCTCTTTTTAGGCATCGTTTAATAGCTGTACTTATTTCGTTAGAGATAAAAGGCAGGAGGAAGGGAACCTTATTTTCGCCAGACTTATCGTTTGGGAGCATAGAATTTCCTCTGAATCTAACCTGAGAAGCTCCTACCGTATCGTAGCCATTAGAGATGGCTATTTTTCGCGCCAAGCTTAAGGATTCTACCTTGTGTTCTTTCCCTGTGCACACATTTGACGCTGTTCGGAACATATTCTTAAGTAGTGCGCGTTTTATGTGTGAAGGATGGGCTGATAGGTAGTGAACCAAGATGTTTTTATTGCTTGGTTTACGGTACCATTTTGTATTGTAGGAGTTTTGGGACAGGTTGACCTGAACGTTCAAAAAAGGGAGCCAATTTGCTTTCGGTTTTTCACGGGTGAACTTTATGTACTCTGACTGGCTGTTCAGCAATTCAAAGCATTTGTCCATCTCCTCTTGGGTTGAGCAGACGACAAAGCAGTCATCTATGTATCTACAGTAGAGTACCGGCCGGAGTTCGTTTATCGGGCTCTCAACTTTAGACATAAAGGTTATAGCAAGTGTTGGCGCTAGTCGTTGTCCCATTGCCAGCCCTCTGATTTGAGCAAAATAGTTCCCGGACCATCTAAAGATTGAACAGTTTAGGCACTCTTTTGAGAGAGCCATAACCTGCCCAATGAAGAAGCCATACATGTTTGTGGTCCTTTCGTGCTCTGTTAAAAGCTCGTATATGGCTTGCATTGCGGAATCATTCGACACGTTTGTATAAAGGGCGGTTACGTCGAAAGATTCCATCACGTACGCGTTGTTTGGAGATGCGTTACGTAAATGGTCTAGGAACATTTGGGTGTTTGTGAGATGGGCTGGAATGTGCTTTAGTGATTGGACTAGTATTAGATTTAAAAACCACGTTATCCTGTCCGTTGGTCCGCCTACGCAGCTGATGATGGGTCTAACTTTGAAATTTGATGGATTAGTAGACAAAAGATCATCAGTGCATACCAACTTATGAGTTTTAATAAGTAAGTATAAGACGGGACATGATGGTGGACTAAGTTTTAGTTGGGAGATATCGGAAGGCTTTAAACCAGCCGAGCTTGCTATTTTTACCCATTGTTGGTTCAATTTTCGATACTGTTTTTGGAATTCCTTACCAGATGATGGGCGATAAAGTGTGGCGTCTTCAAGATGGTTTTTTGTTATCGCAATATCTAACTGATTGGGAATTACTACAAACTCTCCTCCCTTGTCACTAACTGATAGTCTAATTGCTTTGGAATTTATTAGTTCCCGTATTTGTCGCATACCGCTTTTCTGCGCCGATGTTAGGTTGGAACTACACATTTTCCCGCGATAGTGGTTAAGGATTCTAAGAGTTTCGTTTGAGAATATGCGAAAATTGACATCTACCTTGTTATTTGGATCTTGCTGCCTAAAGAACGCTCGAGGAAAAGGTGGTATTGGTATTGCTCCTACGTTTTGCTGTTCCTGCTCGTTATTTGATTCTAGTCTGGCTTTATAGCGGAGTCGATCTTGGAGTTCTTGCAAATTGCATGCGATAGTGCACAAGGTTTCCTTAGAGATGGGTTGCGCTGGTGAGAAACTTGGGCCCATTTTCTAAGAGGGAGCGCGCATTATCGGGAAGAGACATGCCTCCTAACACAGTGACCCTTGATTGATCTAGCACATTACACAACGCGACCTTTCATCAATTTGACTACGCATACATTTTTCATGAGCATCTTGAGCACCAACAATAACTGAGTAAGGAACATCGATTTCCAAGCTCAAATGGCACTTGTAACTGAACTATTGTAGGACAATGTTCAATATGCCTGCGCCTTCTCTATGTAAGTGATTGAGTTCCCTCGAGAGGATTGGCTAAGGTGAAGGCTACGAGGCTGTACAAGGAGGAAACTTATGTATATATTATGTATAAGTGCCCATAACAGACCACATGCATGGCTCAATAATAACTGTTAGACACATCGAAATTTGAGCATGGTCTAGAGAAACACTCGAAACGAAAAAAGTTATGAAGGATAATTTGTTGCCTAATGTTGTTTGTATATGACAGAATATTGTGATAATTAACGATTGTATGAACTGTTGAATATCAAATAAATGTTACAAGTAAGACGATTGAAACATGAGTCTAAAGTAAATAAACGTCAAGAATGGTTATTATGCAGCGGTTAGTTACCTCAAACGCATTTTCGCAAACGAAGTTCTGTATGAGAGAACTTAGGATAATTGGAATTTTCCTATCTTTAATACCACAGTGCGCAGTGGAACTAAGTGCATATTTCATTAGCTCGAACGCTTTCATCTGGTCGCTGATATGCTTGTATATTAGGCAAAAGCTCAAGTAACAGTCTCCTGTTTAGAGCGCAAAGGTAACGTCGTTAGCGACTGTATCAACAACTTGACAAGCTACATAATTTTGATGGCGATTTCGAATGCTAACATGTGTACGTGGCGTTTCGTTACACGTCAAGAATGCGCGGCTTTCACATCGAAAAATACATAGACGTGCAATGTGGCGCGAGAAATTATTCTTTCTTTATAATACCACTGCAAACCTATTTTATCACTTCGTTGCATCAAATAAGTTTATCCTTTACCTTCGACCATTGCTAACATCCTTGATAACATGACGAAATTGAATAAAATTGTGATTACATGGCAGCAATATCATTACTACTTATGTTATCGCTCCGTAGAACATCTGCTGATTCTACCACTATCAATGAGTTAGTTAGAAACATGATTTTGGAAATTTACTGCGTTACTACTGCGAGAGTCCAGCTGGTAACAAACAAATGCTGCACAAGGTCAATACAGAACTTCATTCCATATAAATGAGATGTCGGCATCTTCAGTGCGTAATCTCAACCCTCAAGCACATAATTATCAACGAAAACTCTGAGAGCAGCATCTTTTTTGTTTTGAAGACAACATTTCATGCGTACGTCAAAAATTGTAAAATTTATTTTTTCTTAGGTTTCCTACGTCTTTTTTACGTCTTTTTTTATGGTTTTGTAAACGAAATGAGGTAAACTGAACTATTCTAGAGACTGCGAAGGCTTGTTGTGATGTTTAAGATGTGTTTTCATTGATATTCAAAACTAGTGAGTCGTCCATGTGCGCGTCGTGAAAAGATACGAAGAGGTTCGAAGGGTTCTCTATTTGCGTTACAACTCAATCATCTTTAATGCACAACTTGAATAGATCGTAACATTTGCCTTCGCATGCCTCGCATGGCTTACCTTGATTGTAGAGTGGAGTTTGCATGCTGACATGCCTGAATTAGATAAAAACTATATTCTTAATTAGAACTGTAAGTCATCAAGTGACGTACTTCTCTCCAAAATGAACCGAAAAGAGGAGTGCCTCATAATCACGCGTGACCTCGAACCATACCTCAGGCTGATTTTTCCGGGCCGAGTGAGGCACAGCCCACTGATGCACTGACCTTAAGCGGCTTGTCTTCAATTGATAATTGATAGACCCAAATATCAAAAAACGGTGAGTGTTTTTAAAATGAAGCTTTTACTATGCGATCCAAAACACATCTCTAACGTTTTCTGCTAGGGTCATGGAGGTTTTTGGCTTAGTGAGTTGTGGATCAATTTGATCTTTCCAGGCTCTGATGAAGGCGACCTGCCGAAACGTTAGCCACCTCGAATATTGTGTATTCAAGCTGCATTACTGACTGTATTGTTGTATGCTTCGCTAATATTCAATAAATAACATCAATAACACCTCGGAACGGCTAAACAGAAGAAACTAATGAACACTCTCGAAAAATCGATGATGAATCACTCACTGGTTGTAAGAACATTTAACGTTGCAACACATACAGCGTCACTGTTTACTTATACTTTTATATCGCCTTGTTTATCACATATATCATTATTTGATCTTTAAAACATAAATTTTCGTTCTATAAACTCAATTACGTAGAGCGGTGTGCAAAAACGTTTGCGTCAGCCGGGAAATCGAACCCACATCTTACTCTTTCAGGGAGAATGTGCTAAACCGTTACACCACCGAAGCTCGTTTTGCACTCCACGTTTTCTACGCTACAACGCATTATCTGTCAACAGCCAACCGTTTACGGTGTGGCGTGGCAGTCATTATCCACATTGAACCATTGAGTAAGATCTGGGTTCGAATCCCGGCTGACGCAATCGTTTTTGCACACCACTCTACATCATTATAGAAACATTATAGCACCGCAATAGGCGGTCAAATAAAATAATTTCGGATAAATTTTTGTTACATCACAAACAATTACAAATGAGAATAACATTGATTTGCCAGTTTTTTCCTTCTAATGATCAGTGAATAATTTGATGGCGTAAAATGAATTGCAAACCACGTTCAAATTTGACCATTTGAATATTCAATAGCGATTCTGCAGCGGCTTCGAGACGAGTTCATAGAATTTCTGCGACTTTTCTCAACCACGTGTGTTGATTCCATTATGAGCAGGTGCTCTTTACAGACCATACGTATCGATTTCAATGCGCACGCTTCTTGGTAATTTCTTTGCATTTTGTAGCACTTTTTCATTTAGTCAACAGCTTGTTCTAAGCATGCTGTTCCGGGACGATAGTCGTGAAAAGCTCTATTCAGCATTAGTCAGAACATAAAAAGCGTTTTTTGGCCGAGTCTATTTGACTGCTTATCGTATGTCGCAAATCATGTTGTAGACGCTTGAAATAAGCTGTAAGCCTTTTCCAAGTACTGACAGCAGTGTTCCTGCATGATGGACCATAGCAAAATATAGCGAATCGAACCACGAATATCAAATCTGTCCATGATAGGATGGAGTAAATTTCCTCAATAAATCTACTGTTCTGCTGCTAAATGATCAAGCAAAATTCGCTTTCATTTAACCGATTTTAGAGGTGATATGATGTTCAAAATCACTGATGTACAATTATGTGTAAGACTTCTGCGTCAGGTGGAACGCGAACCTACATTTCACCTTCTCCGAGGACTCGTGCTCGAACCGATACACTACCGACACCTGTTTTGCCGCTACTCTTTCTACACTACACCGCATCTAGTTGTCAGCAACCAACCGTCAACGATAAGGCATGGGTACTTGCTACTGACAATGATTCCATCACGGTCCCACCTGACGCAAAAGTTATGCACATCACCTACATCATGGGTATATTTATAACATCATATTAGTGCTATAAGTGGTTAAATAGAAAGGAACTCTGTTTGATTATCTATAACCTAATGTCATCAGCGTAACTAGATTCAATGCCGATAGGAACTACTCGTGCCATACTGTTGACAGTTGGTTGCTGATAAAAAGATGCGTTGTAGCGTAGAAAGAGTGATGTCAAAACGAGCATCGGTTGTGCCGCTGTTCAAGCACGCGTCCCCTGATACAGTGATATTTGGATTTGTTCCCCATCTGACGCAAAAGTTTTGCGCACCAGCCTACATTAACGCGTATTCAATAATGGTAACGAAATAAAATAGTGACAGAATAGTCATTTCTTGAGTAGTCTAATTACGAAAAAATAATGCCTAGTGTCGAACAGGTAGCGTGCCCATAATATCGAGAATCAGGCATTTTTGCGAAAGCGGGTCTATGCCTTGTTTGTGCTTGTGTGTTTGCACGTATTTTTCATATATCATCGCAATAACCACCATGATATCCTAGTGCCGATCTACCGTAATCGGTTCCTATGTGGATAAACCTGTCGCCTTGGTTCTATTTTACGGAACTGGTTCCGTCTGGCGTTCAAAGTTTTGCATATTACTTAACGTTAATAGATATATATGTCGTTATTTTTGTTTAGACGTGTGTTTTGGCTATGAGACTATGTACAGTGTTTGCTAGCTTATTCGTCGCAGTGTACGCTCAGGTTCTGTTTAGTGTTTATTTTCAAATCCTCTATTCCGACTTTTATTGAGCCTCGGTGTGGACGAATAATATTCTTCTTTTCTTGATGTCAGTTGACAGCAGTATATGAAGAATATCAACCGTTTCCGTCTCGTACCATATTATTTCCTTTCTTCTTTATTTCACCTTTTCTAAAGCAGCCACTTGATATTCTTTGAAAACGTTCAAGAAAACATCGATTGAGGGCATTTTTCAGATTATTCTCAGTCTTTCTTTTTGCCCATATCTTTTCTTTTACAACGTCCTCAGTTTTTAAGTGCTGTTTTTTGTTCATCACTTACCAGCCATCTGGTCTATAAACTTCCACCTAAAGAAGAGGGACAACTATAAGCACACAGAACTCATTAGTTTTCAAAAATTATTTTGCTAGTAAATCTTTTTGAATCACTTGCAATTTCCTTATAAAACATGATTAATTGTATTTTAGAGAAATTTATGTGTAATATGACCAAAGAAAAAAGAAAGCACACGATGACAGTCCGATTAGAAGAAAAAAGGTCTTTTGACAGTAACAATCACAGAGAATTAAAGCCTTTCCTCATATTCCTTCATAATTTTCCATAAATTTTGAAGGTGGAGCTACTGCGTTAGATTCGTCAGCGCTTATTCATCTTATTATTATCTATACGAAAACGCAGCAAAATACATGTTTCTATAAACGTCGTTCGGTTCATTTCCGCTTGGTAGCTCAGATTTCTATGCTTATTCCTTTCGCACAGGAACTTTACATAAAGAATGTTAGTAGTCATTCAAAAGTTTAAATTTCTGTCTTGGACTCAGAGTCGCCGATTTTTGAAAGAAATTTTTTATAACGTTGTAGGATTTCAAATAAAATTGTGTTTCCCATCGACTGCGTCATTCAACTGTTACTTCGCTGAAAACACGAAGAGCATATGAACGCTTAGAGTAAATTCTTTGGTATCAGATTCAGACCTTTAATCAGGAGTTTCCTCTAAAGCAAAGAGATAATTTCTAACAACTGGCAAAAATCGCACTCTACATAGGCTCCACCGATCGATGATCGCCTCAATCCCTTCCCTCCACCCCATAGCCCATATATTGGCCAAAGAACAAATACCCTCTTATGTAAACCAATCTCATTTCCCCTGCTATACTGCAGAGAAACAGTCTCTCCAGAAGATGAGAACAGCGTTGAAATCGTTGAATCTTTCACCTGTACCGTCTGAAATATGCGTGTGCGAAACACTCATATCTTCGTTTCGCTGTATTGTCACAAATGGACCTCTCAGAAAAAAGAGCACTTGCTGCGCTAGTCAGAGATTCAAGCTTTCGAAATTACTAACACTCGCAAAAAGTTATGTCCAGTAAAAGGGTAGGCCTAGAAATTAGAAATCCGTGATACTCAACGGAACATTACCCCCTTTCTAATCCCGCAGCACCCGTTCTGAGATAAGAAATATGTCAGAAATAAAAAATAGTTATCCTTTTGATTTCACTGGATTATAATCAAAATCAGTAGTTTTGTATAAGCAATATTGATCCCTAACCATGCAAAATTATCGATTTTTCTTCTCTCAGATGCATCCTAACGAATATCCATATTCATTCAACCCCTTCAGCGCTGGCTTCAATCCACTCCCTCCTGGAATGTTTCAGGTGTTTCAGGTGAGTTTAATAAATGGTAGTTAGAACGTAACATGATAGAGACACTTTCTTCAAGATCTTCGCAATTTTATTTTATGCCCACTTCATCGTAACGACAGGGTACCATGTGACATTCGACACTTACGACTAAAAGAGTGCTGAGAAGCTAATATGATATGGTGCGTAGTTAGGCTTCAAACCCACAGTTACCCTTTGCAGAAGCTGACTAGATTTTTCACTACACCATCAAAGACCTTGCAAAGCCTTTCTTTTAGCCATGTTAAAACAGTAATCGGTGATTGTGCGGAACTTAGTGGTCATTGAAAAGACTATGCACGGGTACGACACCACTTTGGGTCCCAATCCTTGTTGGTATCTCAGCACCTTTGTGATTGAATATCTCTGTAATTTCTTCCCAGTACCTCGTTGTTTCCAGAGTGGCGTGTTCAGCCCTGACTGGGGAGCTAATTTGGCAAGATGGATCACTGAAACTACAAGGAATGCCATTTCAAATTTCAACGGATTAGGCGCCTTTACTGGCATCAGTACCATTAATGGAGTCTCTACCGTATCTGTGTACATTGGAGGTAGACGTTACACTGCACAACTCCCGCCTAACAGCGCTGTCTCGATCAACTCCAACTATGGCAATTACAACGGTCAACAGGTTGAAGAGGTGAGGATTGTCGTGAACGGGGACGTTAGCGTATATAGAACTGTCGACGGCAGAACTATAGTCACTGACGGGTATGGAAACATACGACATGATGGTGGACCACTTCGCATTTATTGAAGTACTGGCATTGTTATTATTGAAGAACTGTTAGAAACTCTAGTGTTAATTACAGATTAGTCATTGAGGATTGAAGTTTCAGTAGTGCATTCACCTTAATTTATTGAAATGCATTTGAAAAATCGTCTTGCTTTACCTGTTCAGCACGGTTTTAGTCAATTTTATAAACTACTTGAAAAAAGATTATTAAAGAAGCTGCGGTGCATATCAGCTTGAAATTTTTATGAATGCAGAAAATGAAGAATACTGTTGTTTCGTGTTGTGAATAAAATGATGATCAATGTTACGAACACACTTTCAATGCTCTGTCAACAATCATTCAATATCGTTTCAATTGAATATATAACAAATTAAACTAGCCAACCAACCACAGAATGGTTGGCAAGGCCTTACAGTGCAATACGGGCCTTGGGTGTTGTGAAGCTTATCACTCCTTAACCGTCAAGCACTCCGCAACCACCTAGCGATAGTGGTCGGCTGTCGAAGAGGACCCATTCTTAGAACGGTGCTTTCTTGAACTTTTCGAGTCATGCTCCATCCACTTGCCGAATTCTTCTGCTATTCAGTTTTCTTTATATAATTGCTAAAGCTGGCAAGCTTAGATTGCGTTCATCTGCAGATTTTCGAGAAGTTTTGGGTGCACTGATTGCACCAAATCCTTCAATTCTTCTTTGTTAATGACAGAAAGGCATCCACGGCCTCACTTATCTTCAAGCTCGAATTCAC